ATTTTCAAGGATCATCTTCGTGTTTGTACGAGTCTACAAAATTATTGAAAACACGCGTCCAATTGTCTGAGTTTCTCGAAAATATCAATTTTATTAGTGCCACCGCCCCCGCCCGCCACCGTGTTGTGGCCCCCGCCCCTGCCACCCGCCACCCGCCACAAGCATCTCCAGAGTACGTCATCTGCACTGCCGATGCAAATTGTCACATGTGCGTGATAACTCATAAATAGTTATATCCTCATTTATTTTCTGGACCCCTCTGAGTACTAACTTGAGACAGAGAATCTAACCGTGCGAGAACGAAATCCAGTATCAGCGTTCAGGCTACGTGAAAGAGAAGCGCCTGGTCTACACATCCACCAAGTCCCCAGCCCCGCCGCCCCCGTCCCCGCCGCGCGCCGCCACTGCTGTGCGCCGCCAACACGTGCGCGCAATGGGCTGGTGGCCGTGGTTGCGGCCGACGGAGGTCAGTGGAGGCGGCGCCGGTTGCACCGTCCTGCCAGTGCTACCCCTCGCCGTCCTGCCCGCCCTCGTCCCATTTACCCCCGGCCCCCCGCTCTTCGGCACCCCCCTCAACCCACCTTCACCCCCACCCTTCACCCTACCTCACCCTCACCTTCTCCCCACCCTCGCCCCCGCCCCCGCCCTCGCCCTTGCTCGCCTCGTCCGCGTCCTCGCCCTCACCATCGCCCTTGCCTCGCCCTGCCTCGCCTGGCCCTCGCCCGGGCCTCAGCCCTGGCCCTCGCCCTGGCCCTCGCCCTGGCCTCGCCCTGGCCTCGCCCTGGCCTCGCCCTCGCCCTCGCCTCGCCCTCGCCCTTCGCCCTCGCCCTCGCTCGCCTCGCCTCGCTCGACCCTCGTCCTCGATCCTCCTTCCTCGTCCTTCCGCGTCCTCGCCCTCGTCCTCGTCCGCGCCCTCGTCCTCGCCTCGTCTTCGCCCTCGTCTCGTCCTCACCACGCCCTCGCCCTCGCCTCGCCCTCGTCCTCACCATCGCCCTTGACCCTCGCCCTCGCATTCGCCATTGCCTCCCCCGCCCCGCTCTGGACTCGCCACACGGGAGTGGGACAAAACCGTTAGAGGACAAAAGAGATTTCGCATGAGGGCCAGTGGGAAAAATGCGTAGACTACCACAAAGTTGCGGGGAAAAAAGTGTAGACATCGTACATGAGGAGATATGCACATACGTATGCTCGCACGACGGCGAGAGAGATAAAGCGTTGACCGGAGAACACAGCGATAGAAGAGTTTTCTGCTACCCACTTTAGGATCTTGGAGTTTTTTATAAAAGTTCAGAGTCATGGAATTCACACACTAAATTTATAACAGTATACAGTTACAATATAACCATCGGCTACCTGAGACTAGCCTCGTATCAATTTTCGACGACTCTGTTATTGTTTCTAGTTTATCTTGGATATTTCTGAGTACATACGAACATAGACACTTCTCACACAGCCGAAGGCTAATTTAGAAAATAATTGATTTCCGTTTCTGCGTCATTTTGAAATTTAGTCAAATTTAGATCGTCCTTCCATCTAGTTAACGTAGCATTCTTTCAATTAAAAACTTTTATGTATATATTATTTGTTGCAACTTCGTGTTTACGGGGCCAAGAGAGAGCAAACACAAGAGCTCCTGCTAAGACGCCCAGAGAATCCGGAGCATCTCAAAGTCACCCCCGCCTCGGTGCGGCCTCGCCTGACGAGCCCCCGGACTGAGCATTCGCTCGCGAGGCCCCGTTTGAGGTCTCGCCTGGATTAACAGCTTCCTTGCCCCCCCCCCCCTCGCTGCATCCACCCCGCCATCGCCTCCGACTCCTCCCCGCCCCTTCCCCGACCCAAACCCCGTCCTGTCTCGCTGCGCCACGCCTCCGCGCCTTCACTCCGGCCTCCGTCCCGCCTCCGTCCCGCCTCCGTCGCCTCCGCCCTGCGATCCGCCCGCTCCGCCCCGCCTCCGCCCGCTCCGTCCCGGCCTCCGTCCTCCTCCGTCCGCTCCGCCCGCCCCCGTCCCGCTCCGCCGCCTCCGCCCGCCTCCGTCCCGCTCCGTCCCGCTCCGTCCGCCTCCGTCCGCTCCGTCCCGCCTCCGTTCCGCCTCCGCCACGCCTCGTCCGCGCTCCGTCCGCCTGTCCGCCTCCCACCGCCTCCGTCCGCCTCCGTCCCGCCTCCGTCCGACTCCGTCCGCCTTCGTCGCCTCCGCCCGTCTCCGCCGTCTCCCCGTCTCCGCCCCGTCTCCGCCGTCTCCGGCCCGTCTCCCCGTCTCCGCCCCCGTCTCCGCCCCGTCTCCGCCCCGTCTCCGCCCGTCTCGCCCGTCTCCGCCCCGTCTCCGCCGTCTCGCCCCGTCTACCGCCCCGTTCCGCCCCGTCCTCGCCCCGATCTCCGCCCCGTCTCCGCCCGTCTCCCCCGTCTCCGCCACCGTCTCCGCACCGTCTCCGCCCGTCTCCGCCCCGTCTCCGCCCCGGTCTCCGCCCGTCTCCGCCCGTCTCGCCCCGCTTCCGCCCCGTCTCCGCCCCGTCTTCCCGCCCCGTCTCCGACCCGTACTCCGCCCCGTCTCGCCCCATCTCCGCCCTCTCCGCCCGTCTCCGCCCGTCTCCGCGTTCTCCGCCCCGTCTCCGCCCGTCTCCGCCCCGTCTCCGCCCGTTCTCCGCCCGTCTCCGCCCCGTTCCGGCCCCGTCTCCGACCCGTCCTCCGCCCGTCTCCGCCCCGTCTTCCGCCCCGTCTTCCGCCCCGTCTCGCCCCCGTCTCCGCCCCGTCCTCCGCCCCGTCTGCCGCCCCGTCTCCGCCCCGTCTCCGCCCCGTCTCCGCCCGTCTCCGCCCCCGTTCTCCCGCCCCGTCTCGCCCCCTCCGCCCCGTCTCCGCCCGTCTCCGCCCGTTTTCTCCGCCCCGTCCCGCCCCGTCTCCGGCCGTTCTCCGCCCCGTCTCGCCCGTCTCCGCCGTCTCCGCCCCGTCTCGCCCCGTCTCCGCCCCGTCTCGCCCGTCTCCGCGCCGTCTCCGCCCGTCTCCCGCCCGCCTCCGCCCCCGGCCTCCGCCCCGCCTTTTTTCCCCCCCGGCCCCCCCCCCCCGGGGGGCCCCCCTTTCCCGGCCCCGCTCCGCCCCGCCTCGCCCGCCTCCCGCCTCCGCCCCGCCTCGCCCGCCTCGCCCGCCTTCCGCCCCGCCTCCGCCGCCTCCGCACGCCTCCGCACCCGCCTCCGCCCGCCTCCGCCCGCCTCGCCCCGCCTCCGCCCGCCTCCGCCCCGCCTCCGCCCCGCCTCCGCCCCCGCCTCCGCCGCCTACCGAACCCGCCTACCGCCCGCCTCCGCCCGCCTCCGCCCCGCTCGCCCCGCCTTCGCCCGCCTCTGCCCCGCCTCGCCGCCTACGCCCCGCCTCCGCCCCGCCTCGCCCCCCTTCCGCCCGCTTCCGCCCCGCCTCCGCCCCGCCTCCGCCCGCCTCCGCCCCGCCTCGCCCGCCTCGCCCGCTCCGCCCGGCCTCCGCCCCGCGCTCCGCCCCCGCCTCCGCCCCGCCTCCGCCCGCCTCCGCCGCCTCCGCCCGACCTCGCCCCGCCTCCGCCCCGCCTCCGCCGCCTCCGCCCGCCTCCGCCCGCCTCCGCCCGCCTCGCCCCGCCTCCGCCCCGCCTCGCCCGCCTTCCGCCCCGCCTCCGCCCGCCCTCCGCCCCGCCTCCGCCCCGCCTCCGCCCCGCCTCCCGGCCCGCTCCGCCCCGCCTCCGCCCCGCCTCCTGGCCACCGCCTCGCCCCGCCTCCGCCCCGCCTCCGCCCCGCCTCCGCCCGCCTCCGCCCGCCTCCGCCCGCCTCCGCCCCGCCTCCGCCCCGCCGTCCGCCCGCCTCCGCCCCGCCTCGCCCCGCCTCCGCCCCCGCCTCCGCCCGCCTCCGCCCGCCTCCGCCCGCCTCGCCCGCTCCGCCCGCTCCGCCCCGCCTCGCCCGCCTCCGCCCCCGCCTCGCCCGCCTCCGCCCCCTCGCCCCCGCCTCGCCCCGCCTCGCCCCGCCTCCCCCGCCTCGCCCCGCCTCCGCCCGCTCCGCCCCGCCTTCCGCCCGCCCCGCCCCGCCTCAGCCCCGCCTCGCCCGCCTTCCGCCCGCCTCCGCCCCGCCTCCGCCCGCCTCCCCGCCCCGCCCGCCTCCCCACGCCTCGCCCCGCCTCGCCGCCTCCGCCCCGCCTCCGCCCCGCCTCCGCCGCCTCCGCCGCCTTCCGCCCCGCCTCGCCCCGCCTCCGCCCCGCCTCGCACCCGCTCGCCCGCTCCGCCCCCGCCTCCCCGCTCGCCCCGCCTCCGCCCGCCTCCGCCCCTCCGCCCCGCCTCCGCCCCGCCTCTACCCTGCCTCTACCCTGCTTCTACCCTGCCTCCACCTAGTCTCTGACCTGACTCCGTCCCGCCGCCACCTCACCCACGTCGAATTCAGTCGCTGTCTGGTCGAGAATTCTAGCGGCCGGCTGCTTTGATCGGTAGTTTTCCGTAGTTTCTCCGGTCAACACCAGGCGAATGCTGCAGTACTACCCTAAAAATCGGACTACGGACCGCGCGTGATCTCACCTTCCATTCCTTTGTCCTATCCTCACCCCTTACACTCACACTCACACTAACACGAACTACACTACCACACATACCGGAAGATCGCTTAGAGCTTGTCCCGGCGGAGTGGCCAACTTCATTTAATCCGAAAATCACGAAATTTGGTTGGATACAATATTCAAACTTCCTCCTACACGAAAACACTTGTCCAATTATAAAGTATTTTTGCATGTTTCTAAACGTCAGATCTTGTAATGAAAACCGGAACTATACCATACATACACATACACTTCTATACGAGCAAAAAACGCTATAGAAAATAATTTCAGACATGTTTCTGAACATTTTGAAAATATCACAGACTTTTTATGTTAAGTTAATTCCAACATTAAAATATTATAATGTTGTTATCTGGAACAGCATAACGAAATATTTTATTGACGCAGTTACCTAGCATCACTTGAAACTCTTCTAATCAGACAGCTATGCTTATCATACATATAAACAGACATACTCTTACATAAGTACATTGAATCAAACTCACATGTAATAATGCATACATTCATATAATCAGTAGTACTACATTAAAGAGAAGAAACGTTAACTGACCCCCCAAAAGGGTCGAAATGTCAAAATAAATAGTTGAAAAATATGTATCAAACTATTTGGTCATTTTAAGATCAGGGACTATTTATATTAAATATAAATAAAAATGAAAATCGTGTTCACAACCGACATGCCAAGATACCTTTAATATTACCTCATACACTTTTACTTCAAAGAAATAACAAGGCACACAATATGTGATTCTCACTGAAAAGTTTTCAAATTATATAAACATGGTTAAGTGGTTAAGTGACAAGAAATTGTTACAAACAAAAGTTACTCAATCGCTTTTGCAGCCACAAGGGAAGTGATACATTCAGAATAAGACCAATGTTTTGCAATGCGTAAAGCAGTCCAACCATCATCTCGTCTTATATTTACATCTGCTCCTGCTTGGGCAAGAACAGGAATGATTTGGCACTGATTCTTCTCTGCAGCTATGTGTATTGGAGCCCATCCAGACTTGCCCCTCACATTAAGATTTGCTTTAGCAGCAACTAGGGCAGTTATGCATGGCGTAAATCCCCAGTGTGCGGCTATGTGTAGCGAAGTGTACATGTCACTTCGCCTTGCATTAACATCGGCTCCTGCTTGGGCAAGAACAGGAATGATTTGGC